GCCAATATCATTGATCGCCACAGCGAACAGCGCCACACTGAGAACTCCGCCTTGGGGAACTCCGTTCTCTTGCGTAAAACTGCTCGAAAGACAACTGCCAACTCGGACTTTGAACCGACGACCCGATAAAAAGTTCTTGATAAAGAGGCCCATCCGGCCGCGTATGCCGTACTTGTGTACTTTGGAAAGTATTCTGTGTCGTAACACTGTATCATAGGCCGCCTCAATATCAAAGAACAATGCTCCAAGGTGCTTCTTTGCAGTAAAACAGGTGCGTATCTCGGTGTCGAGGGCTAAAATGTGGTCAACAGGGCTGCGGTGCTTTCTAAAACCGCACTGGGCGTTTGTAAAAACACCGTGATGTTCCAGAAACCAGCTAAGACGCACATTGACCATCTTCTCCATCAGCTTTGAAAGCGATGATGTGAGAGAGATGGGCCGATAGTGGAGAGGGTCATGTCCCGACTTGCCAGCCTTCAAGATAGGAATGATAGTGGCTTCCCGCCAGGTCTCAGGGAAAGTGCCAGTCTCCCACAGCGAATTGAAAGTTGCTAGCAGCGCCTCGAGGGCAACTGCCGGGAGATGACGGAGCATGTCGTTGTGGACAGCATCCGGACCTTCTGAGACGCTGCGCAACGAGCTGATGGCAGACGTGAGCTCAGCCATAGAGAAAGGCTCGTTGTACACCAAATTTTCAGCTGTGCTGAAGTCCACGGCGGCTGGTGCAGGTCGTGAGGACGGCTCTCCTCGGCAGCGCTGATAGAGTGCACGGCCTATCGTCTCTGCGACGTCTAAAGGATGGGATATGTCCGTGTTGTTCACTCTTAAAACCGGAAGCGGAACAGAGCTGAACCGGCCTTCAATGCGCTTCATGCGTGCCCATATCTGGGTCGTAGGAGTAAAACGGTTTAAGGAATTCACGTACGTGCGCCATGAAACAGCCTTTGCCTCTTTTAAAACGCGACGGGCAAAAGCCCGCGCTTTCTTAAAAGCGATGAGGTTCTCAGTAGTACTACTCCGGTCAAACTTTCTAAAAGCGCGCTTCCTGGCACGAATCGCATCTCCGCATTCCTTGGTCCACCACGGGACCGGAGGACGACGAGGCTGACTCGACGTCTTGGGTATGCATCCGTTTGCGGAGTCAATGAGTAAAGATGTAAAATCATCTGTAGACATCACAGAGGCGTCGGCTCTGGATAAAACCGTGGCCTCTACGGCGGCCTGGAATTCGCCCCAGTCGGCCTTCCGAACATTCCACCTAGGTGGACGGTTGCCTGACACTGGGGACTCCTGGAGCTCCAGCCACACTGGGAAGTGGTCGCTCCCGAGTGGGTCGTCATGGACGGACCAGGTAAAAAGCTGAGCTAGCCGCGGACTAGCTAAGCTCAGGTCCAGAGCCGATGTTTGACCGGAGGGCGTGGTAAAATGGGTGCGCTTTCCTGTATTTAAAATACAGAGCGCCTCATCGCGGATAAAAGATTCTAAAATTCGACCACGAGTGCCAGTCGTGTCGCATCCCCACACCAAGCTATGCGCGTTAAAATCGCCGACTACCAGGACCGGAGGTGGAAGCTCATCGACAAGTCGATGCAGCTCAACCACCGGGAGCGCTATACCTGGTGGAAGGTATAAAGAACAAACTGTCAGCTCCCGGTGGTTGAAATCAACTCTAGCGGCTACCGCCTGCAGAGGAGTCTGCAGCGGAACCTGACGTGCGGGCACACTGTGGTGCACTGCCAAAAGTACACCTCCATGGGCAATGGTCGGGGTGTCTAAGTCTCTTCTAAAAACAGAGTAACCCTTGATGGCAAGGGTAACGTTTGGCGCTAGCTTGGTCTCCTGGAGACCTAAAACAAGGGGTGGGCGCCAACGGATAAGAGACTGTAGGTCCTGGTAGTTGGCCCGGAGGCCTCTACAGTTCCACTGTAGAATAAAAGGCGTGGTTAAAAAGGCGCAAAAAGGGCGCGTATAACATGAGGCAAAGGCGCACACAGATACCTGACTGACCACAAAAAAGGTAAAAAGCACCGAGAGAAATGCACCTGGTAAAAAAGCGCAATAGCGCGAAAAAGATAAAAGGATAAAAGAGGAAATGACTAGACTGAAAGACTAGACTAGGTCCTCTAACTCCGAGGAGGCGCTCCCCCCGTACCGGATACGGGGGTGCCCTGAGCCCTCTCGGTGAAGCCTCCCTTCAGCAGAGGCAGATCGGGCATGGCTCGGGCCCGGCTGGGGCCTTTTCGACCGGGGGGCGTCGCCCTCCGAAGGTGACCAGCTCGGGGGCGTCTGCCGCTTGGCGAGGCGCCCTGGAGCCGCGGAGGGCTGTTGCCGCCCCGACGGGGATGTCGAGGCGGCGGCCTGTGTCCTCGACACAGGCGTCTCTGGCAGCGGCGGTGGTGGCCGCCGCTGCGGAGGTGGAGGAGGCGGCGGGGGACCCATGATGGGCCGAGTCCCCGCCTGAGGTGTCTCCGGGGTGTCAGCAGCAACAGCCGCATTGGCACTCCCGGAGGCGGAGTCGGCAGACGAGGCTTCCTTAGCCTCGAGGGCCTTCTGGACGAGGCGAGCCCTCCTCGCCTCTCGTGCCTTCCTCTCCTCCTCCCCCCGCCGCAGCGCCTCCTGCACCGCCGTAGACGGTCGGGGGCGGGGCGGGGTGGGTGGCGCCTTACCCTGCGCCGGGGGGCGCCGACCACCCTGTCGGCGCTGGACGACGGTCCACTCGTCTCCACTCGCGGCTGGAGCCGGACTGGGTGGACCCCACACTGACTCCTGAGCAGCCTGCTCCGTGTCGCTCGGCGGCGCACGAGGCGCCGGGGGGTCCGCTGAGCCATCAGTGGCTACGACAGTGAGGCCGAATCGCTTGAGGAGCTGCACGAGCTGTGCGACACTCATCTGGGAGGCATCGGTTGAGTTTGTCACTCTCACCTTTTGGGCATACGAGGTCTTCGGGTGAGTTTGGTTATACACCTCCCGGGCCTCTTTAAACGACAGATTTCTGGTAGCCTTGATGGTGTTTATCTCCTTCTCTTTGACGTATGTAGGGCAGGACCTGTCATACGCGGAGTGCGGTGTCTGCCCCTCTCCGCAGTTGACGCATCGAGGGGTCTCCGAGTTGCACGTATCGTCAGTGTGGTCCTGAGAAGCGCACTTGGAGCATGTGGGTCTACCCCGGCAGTTGTCCTTCGTGTGGCCGAACCTCTGGCACCGATAGCAGCGCATGGGCGCCGGGACGTATGGGCGCACGCGGACCTTGATGTACCCCACACGGACCTCGTTCGGCATGTCGGTGGTGTCAAATGTGAGAATGATGTTATTTGTCGGGACCGTGCCTCTTCGCGTGAGGATGCGGCGGGCGGCTGTCACGCCGTACTCCGAGAGCCCGTCCGCTATGTCCTCGTCACTCACGTTCCTCAAGTCGAAGCAGTTTATAACTCCTCGAGAGGAGTTCTTGGAGCGGTGTGGCTCCACCGTCAGCGGCAAAGAAACGAGCTTCCGACCGGAGGCACGTCCTTCCGAGTACACGAATCGAGTGGCAGTTAAGGCATTCGTCGCCTCTTCGCTCTTACGGAACTCCACCTCAAGTGCTCCGCCCCGCATGCGGTCGCAGCGGACGATGCTGCCAAACCGGTCACAACCGTCCTTTCGCTGGAAGGGCGACAAGGAGCTCAGCTCCCTGTCTGCGCTCCGGAAGATGAGGATTCTGGGATTTTTCGGTCTTGGAACGTGCAACGTTCGCCCGTCGGCCGAGGCCGGCGGCCGAGAATCGGCCGAAGCCGAGGGATTGGTGAGAGAGGGGGAGGAGGGGTTGGTCAAGGTATCCATGCGAGTCTGTTGGTCTCCGCCAGCTCGGCCGCCGACGCTCCGCAACGGCGCCGCTACAAGGCCTGGGACGGCCGAGCTGACTGTACGGGACTTGGCGGCACCTTCCGAGGGGGAGAGAGAGACTCACCACCCCCCACGGTCGGATACCGTCTCCTCCCTTGACGCCTAGCCGAGTCACCGCCAGGGGCAGCGACAGATCAGTCCCACCGACGGAGGACGAGCACAAATGCCCGAACCCCGCCGGCGACACCTCTCCGACACCACCCCCGGCGGCATCACGACTGGGAATGGCTCCTCAAGTGCGGCGCCCCACTGAGTGTCCCGCCCTTACAGAACTCAGGGCCAAAGAGGCGTGTTGCCCAGCCACCGCGACTGGCTCCGCACGGTGGGGGGCTCAACCTCCAGGATCCCGTTGTCCTGGGGTACGGGTCGGCTCGCCTAGCCTAGTAAAACCGGCTGGTACCCGAGGGGACGCCACTCCCCTTACACTAGCCCAACTCGGCTGTGTTCCTGCGGGTGTAAAAAACAACGAAAAAAGGGGAAAGGAATCAGAAAGCTGTGATCGAACGAAACACGGACATCCGGTGAAAAGCAAAGTAAAAGCAAACAAAGACCGCTCAAGAGAAACAAAACCACGGAAACCAAGAAAAGTCGGGCCGTACCATCTGTCCATCCAGTGATCAAAAGCAAATCGTAAGCAAGCATGGGTCAAGCTGGGGCCGAGGGGGCGCTACTCCCCTTGCTGGCCGAGGCCAGGGCCGCCGCGGGGCAAAGGCCCAAGGAACCCAGTCCGACAGCGACCCACGCCACTGCCAACCCCCTGCGGGGCCAATCCTGCAGACAATCCATCCAGTAAGCAAGGCAAGTCCAGGTCAAACGCGCGTCAAGCTGGGGCCGAGGGGGCGCTACTCCCCTTACTGGCCGAAGTCACAGCCGCCGCACAGCCGGAGCCAGATGACCCCGGCTAAGCAGCAGCTCTGACCACGGTCAGCCCCCTGCGGGGGAAGTACGCAAGCAATGAAATACGATGAACAATATCAACATTTGCGATGCTTACCTACTTTTGTTCGTAACCCTCACCCTGCCGCCCTGCCCGTCTCCCTGTCTGATGTCTCTAATCGAAGTTCCTAACCTAATCTAAATGCCAGCTCGTATCAAGAATCTTCCAACCAAACACCACAGCACCGAGACACTCTGTATTTTGTCCAGTTAACAGGACGGTAACACCGCAGTAGGAGCGTCCGTTGAGAAGCAGGCAAGCGCATAACTATACGCACAGTGGCACTACGCGCCCACAATAATATCGCCTCACTCTCGTTGGTCGTCGTTTCGTTGTGTGGGGGTTCCTAGCGACACGCGCCGACAGACAGCACCATCACAGTCACTCGGTTCGGCCGCCGGCGCAGCGCAGCTGGTCCGGTGACCGGGTCAAACTGCAGGCACCAAGGCCATATATAGCGGCAGGCACGCTCTGCCGCACCCAAGAGGCGGACTCACGGCAGGCGTCCTCTGCTCACTAATAAGCTTTAGCACCTGCCTACAAGGTTGAGCGAGGAGTAGATTAAGTAGTAACATTTCACGACACATCGTAATATTACGACTTTGCCACACATGTTTACTGTTTAGGTTGAAGCTGGATAGGAAACGTCGCAAATCCAGTGCAGACCTTCGACCAAACCCACCAAAAGTTGCATAGTTTTCTTTTTACAACCTGAACAGAAGCTCACCATACCTTTTGTTCTTGTGCAAAAAAAAGGAGCAAAACAAGGCAATTTAGCAAAATATAAGTGCATCCCCGAAACGCTGAATGCCATAACCAAGACCCCCTGTTGTAAAGTGATTTAGAAAGTAGGCATTGAAATGACTCAACTACATGCACAAAGCAATACGTAGGCAGCCACTCTCCTTCAATCGGCGAGGATTTGCATTGCAAGGAATTGAGCCAAAAGTATGGAAATGAAGAAAAGTGACGCACCGTTGCCAACAAGCACACACGCTATTTTCAATGAAGAAATCCACACGGAAATGACAAAAATACATTGATTAAACTACAAAGGTATGACTTTCCAAGTAAATGGCGTGATGGTTGCAAGCGTTAACACGCATGACACGACCGAAAAGAGATTCAAATAGTATTGGAAAGCTATCCTGAGGGCACGAATAAACACGACAATATTAGCGCTACCAGGATAGTAAGTTCCTTTGTGAGCGACCTGATCAAATTATACCGAAAACCATACTAACACGGCATGGACTAAAACACAATACATAGTAACAACGTATAGCATGAATAAACTTAACACAATAAGTTGATAAAATATAAAGCATTGCATGGAGAATGCTACGAAACACGCTAATGCTTGCCAGTTAGTACTTATTGTCTCGTCATCGAAGTGCACATCGAGATTATTATAATAACGCATTTTTTCCATAGTGTTAAGAAAATGCAACGCACTGTCAAATATAATTGATAAAAAAACTTATGCAAGGCCAACAGTACGGTAACAAATGTGCCCATCAGTTGCCAATAGAATATTATAAAAGCTAAGGGCTCGAAAATAAACACATATAAATCAATTTACGCCAATAACTCTCAATGTTACTCCTAGATTCTTACCGTAAGGCCAGAATAAAATGCAGCGAAAAGTTGCGATAAAACTTTAACTTCTGGCCACACTAAAAGACTTATAAATTGAGGACTAGAAGTACCGGCAGCGGCGCCATACACGCATAGGACCTAGGAGCTCTTGTTAAAGCTATGTACCGCCGTCAGGGAAGCAGCACCAGTCGGCCTTCTAGGCGCAGACCGCCATTGGTGGTGGCGGGCCGCGCCACCCGCAGCACTCAGCACTACAGACGGCCGGCTGGCCCCCTCAGTTCTGCCCGCAGGCCAAACAGCGGGAAGACGTCAGCGTTCGCCTTATACAACTATCTCTGCCCGCAGCAAGCAGGGTGACACCCAAAACGCCCTACGAAACTTCTAAAATGTCACACGGCAGCAGCTGGCGCAATAAGACGCACTGCCTAATACGATACCGCCTCAGAAAGCACGGCAAACCGCACAGCAACAAGCGCCGCGGCAACACTAGGCTTGTGCACGTGGCTGACTAGATAATTCTACTGCTGAGCAGGCAGCACGCTATGCCTAAACGCCTATGCAGACCCGTCCCCGTCCCCACCCGCGGGTCGCCAGCAGCACTATCTTCCACAGCAACGGCCAGTCCCAAAAACATTGCATTGGTGGACTGCCTCGCTAAAACGGCGACGCAGAACCCCGGCTGCAACTGCAGATGCCGCTAGCTGTCCAATAGACGTGAGCACCCGCCCATTCAGCAATCTCCGCTGAACCCTAGCGGTAACAGCGGGAGTGTGGCGCTGGCGCAGACGCCGGGGGCGCATTGGAAGCCTGGGTTCCTACTGAGCTGCGCTGTACATGAGATAGCTTGCCGGAGACCATCGTTTGCACGCTGACTCACCGGTCGAGTCGTCAGCTCTAGCCGACTCTCAGAGTCGCAATGACTCACGTCTAGCCGAGTCGCCGGCAAAGCCCGACCGACGGACCGAGACGGCCCGATTTAGTGCCGTCGGTCGGGTGGACCGAGCGCCGGCAGTGCAGCAAGGTAGAGCGCCGGCCTCAGGCGCGGCTGGGCGACTTGAGCCGATCCCGACGGCGGCGGCGAAACATCACTGAGAGTAGGGCACAGAGCCGGTGCCAGCGGCGGCGGATCCGCGGCGCACGGCCCGGCGACGGCTGCAGCCGCCGCTCCTCGTCCTAGACACGAGAGGGAGGGTCAGATGGGTTAGGCAAATGGCTGGTGTTAAATGCAGTGTTGCGGAAGGCAATTATACGAGTGACTACCTTGCCCGAAGAAGAAACGGAGTCAACGATACGATGTAAAAGTGAACAAGCACACAATCACAAGCACAACGCTATGGTAAATGCTGTGCTACGGATAATCTAAGACCAGGCATCGGTAGGATTGTGATTGCAGGATTGCAAAATCCTGATTGCATTCCTTTTTGGTGGATTGCACCTGGATTTGAAATCCATTCCAAAAAACAGGATTTGATTGCGGATTGGATTGCATCATACTTCCAATTTTTGCAATCCAATCCGGATTGTGTTTGATTAGTGCTTTGAAATGGTTTGTTGCGATTGAAAATTATGAGATCGGCTTCATCGACTTAAAGGGACCCTCCCACCTTCAAAAAAGTTAATGAATTGGCATGAAAGTGATGTCGCTCGGTTCAGAAAGAGCAAAAACGAATATCTACCAAATTTCATCGAAAAATATTCACCGGTTTTCAAGATATTAGACTTTTACTTTTGTTTACTTTTTGGGGTCTCCGCTGTTCCTAGCGAATTTATTTGAAAGTGCGGCATTTGTTGCGCGCAAAGCAGCATATACCACCGCGTGCTACAAAACGTTTTAGTCAAACATTTAACGGACGTTCGAAAGCCTGATGACGTCATCAGATTCCCGTAATGGTTAAGAGATAGGGACCACGCTGGTCCCACCCTGCAAGTAAAGGGAAGAAATTTCTTGAACACCATAAAGCTGCGGGGGTTGCGACCAGGATAAATGGTGGTTTCTGAGCCTGGCCGCAAACTTGGCTATCTCAACTCAAAACTAATGTTAAGGTGGGAGGGGCCCTTTAATGTACATTGTACTTTGCTATCAAGGGCTTTACATCGAAACTTGAAATAATTTAAACGCTAATTATTTAATAATTTAAACGCTTTTAATTTAAACGCTCAAAATAATATACGCTGATGAACTACATAGGAAGGGCAAAATTACGTATTTGAGGGCGTTTTAAAAATATAAAACACTGGTTGGGTAGAGGAGGTTTAAATGTGGGGTGTTTGAGGCAAAAAATATTTCCCATAAAATATATGTGCCTTAGATAGGAATTACTCGCAAGACTATGTACTAGAAATGGGTGATTTGGGGATGGAGGCACGGCCCTATGCCTCCCTCCCTCCCCCAGATCCACTAGTGCGCATAATAATACAACAGGATTGCAAAAAAGGATTGCGGATTTGATCACAATCCAAGTGAAAAAAGGGGATTGCGGGTAGGAATGCAATCCACTTCGGCACTAGGAATGTGGATTGGGAATGCAGTCCTTTCAAAAAGGATTTTACCGATGCCTGTCTAAGACACTCATGTTGCATTACGGCTCGTTAAATATAAATGACCATTTGATTGCCGACTCGTAGTCGTGACAAATACCAAACAAGGTAAACCAGTGAAATCGGCCCTGCTTCCCGCCTGGCCCGGGATCGTTCCGCTGCCCGCGCACCCACCTCATCCTTGTCACGCTCCTGTTTGCGAATGATCCGCACGAGCGCGTGGAAAGAGTCGTCCACGAAGCGGCGGTAGGCCGCCGACGTCTCGAAGAAGGGCGCGTTCAGCTGGCGTGCGAGATCGCGTCCCTCCTCAGTCAGCACCTGGCCGAAGGACACGTATGGAGAATGAAGGCTACCAAACAGCGATTGGTGACTCTGTGGCTGTCCAGTGTCCAGGTCCAATTATCACTTTTACGTGTCTGTTCCACCATTCTGTGGCTGTCTAGGCCCCACTCTCACCTTTCTGTGGTTGACCTTATCCCTGTGGTTGCTCTCACTCTTCTGTGGTTGTCCAGGACCAACCCTCACCTACATGTGGCTGTCCAGTTCCAGTTCTCATCTTTCCGAGGTTGTCCAGGTCCAATCCTCACCTAACTGTGGCTGTCCCGGTCTACCCTTCCGAGGCCTTGAAGTGTCAGTCCTCATCTTACCAAGCCTGGCCAGGTCCAACACTGACCTTCTGTGACTATCCTGATCTACCTCTCTGCGACTGGCCCAGCTCCAGTTTTCACCTTTCTGTGGCTGTCCAGGTCGAGTTTACAGCCGACGATGACGAGAGGCACGTCGTCGGCGGCGCGGACGCGACTGAGCAGCCGCCGGTACTCGGCCACCTGCTCGAAGCTGCGCCGGTCGCAGATGCTGTAGCAGATGATGAAGCCCTCGCCGCAGCGCATGTACTGCTCCTTCATGGCGGTGAACTCGACCTGGCCGGCCGTGTCCAGGATGTCGAGCAGCGCCGGCTCGCCGTCAATCACCGCCTGCTGCTGGTACGCATCCTCTGCGGAGCGCGGGAGTCAGGCTTTGTTGGTGTGATGTGTGCTAAGAGCCCCACGGAAACGTTTAATAGAGGCTGATCGTTAACAATCAATGCATAGCATGCACCAGCACCTGATGATGATGACCGATCTAAAGATCACGACGCTGGGAAAATCTTATGATAATCTTTACATTGCTTCTCAGAGGCACAAAGACCGTATCGACCATCGGAGTCGGCGAATGTAGAGCAGCTAAGGGCTCAAGTCACGATAATAACACGCACTACGCGCCGTACCTACATACGAGGACGCTATGGTCTGCGTCACGAAGCCGCATCTGTGTCACACACTCACCGATAGTCGGGTCATGGTACTCGATAAAGTTGTGGCTGACAAACTGCAGGACAAGCGCCGACTTGCCGACGCCACCCTCGCCGAGCACCACCACTTTATAGACGCGCAAGCGGCCGCGGCCGGGTCGCGGCGCGCGCGCCCCGTCCGCGTGCGTCAGCTGCGGCATGTCGCCCGTGACATCACCCAACCTACCGGCCATATGTGGGATGTTGTTCTCATGGGTGAAGACACATGAACACCCAAACAGGCAAAACAGGCCTACTGCTGCTAAAATGGCAAACTGATTGGAACTGAAGAAAAGGTGGAGTGGATGAGGGAAGGACTTGTTACATCTTTTCTCATTAGCAGTTGGTATCTTTTTATGTGGTTGGTTACACTCAAGGTATATAAAAACACTGTTACACTCATAGGTGACATTTAAGCCCAAAATACACACAACTTGCAATTGTACCCATGTTGGTAAAACTTGATTTCTTCAAGATAGGTGAAATCAAGTTACAATAAGTCATCATGATCAAATGTTCAGCTTAGACATTCTAGGACAAACTGGCTCACAGTTCAATAAATAAAGAAACTAGAACATTGCTCCAGGGCATTCAATAGCTCTTTTATTGGTAGATGGTATAAGTAGTTTCAGACTATTATGATAGCTGCAATTATTATGCTACTTATGCTCAATTTATTAAAGCAGATTTCAGTTGCAAAATTGAATTCTGAAGCTCCTAAAACACAACATGGACCTCTTTTACCATCCCTTTTATTAGGCTCTTTGTTTCTCATCGATGCATCCTACCTCAGATTCAACAATGACTTGAGAGGCAAGCTGATGTTGCTTTGGCTCTCTCTCAATCAAAACTGGACCAAAACTAAAAAAGAAGCTCAAACTGCTACTGAGAAAACAATATCAAGCCCATTGATTTTTGTCAAAAATCATCTTGTTTTATGGATTTGTTTCATCAATTAGCTCAGTTTTTCCTCCACTGAGTTGGCAGAACTTATGGGCAAGTTAAGGCAAACACCAACAACAGCTGGCAATCTTTTTCATCCCAAGGTGTTATCACAAGATGTACAGTAAAGTTTCTAAAGAGCAAAAATTTTGATAATTGACCTGTAGTAGTTTGGTGCAATTACTTTTGATAGGAACTAGCTGCTAGGTTTGTGCACGGGACATATCAGCTTTATTAGGATCACACTATATTGGCATTTTGCAATTTGCAGCCCCCCCCAAAAATTTTGGAATTTCACAAAATAAAAAGATGAAAGGGAAGAGCACATCCTTCTAAGCTTCAAAAGTGACACCACACATCAATACTAACAATAAACATCCAACCATAAACATCTATAAGTTACACCCCATATCTGACCACACCAAACGTTAAACCAGTATAACGCCTTATGGGGCGACTAACGGAGCGAGCGAGAGGGTGGGCCTTGCACGTGCGAAATTTCGAGGGGATACCTCCAACTGACTTGTGCACGGCACCCTACTAACCGGTCTCTAGCGATGTGCCAAATTTGAGCACAATCGGCCCAGCCGTTCTCGAGATCTGGAAGCGGCACCCTGCACGTGCGCACGTGCAAAATGGGTCCCAACTGACTTGTGCACGGCACCCTACTAACTGGTCCCTAACCGTGTACCAAATTTGAGCGCCATCGGTCCAGCCGTTCTCGAGATCTGGAAACGACCCCTGCACGTGCGCACGTGCAGCAGCACCCCAACCTTAACACATGCAGATGAATTATCTGATGGAGACCTAACTGTGTACCGAGTTTCAATTCAATCGGCCCAACCGTTGTGCCGTTATTGAGGTTGCAATTTTGGGGGTTCTTAAAAAATGTCCAACTTTACCACGCGCCACGTGCGGTGGTTGGCAAGAACACATGGTGGCCATCACACCACAGAACTTTTACGTCCAAGTGACATTCAGTAAAGAAGACCGCTTGTCAATCGGATGTCCCGTTCCTAAGATATTAGCTTTTGAAGAGCGTCCCCACGGCCGGCCGGCCGCTCATACTCAGAAATTTCCGTTAGGTAATCTAAGGAAAGACTCCGCTCGCTTCGCTCGCTCCGTAATCATGTATTCGCAATGTCATGTATGTTACACCAGCAAAATCAGGTCACGTTAGGTTAATAATTTCTAGGAGTAAGTAATGGTATGAAGTATGAACCATAGATATGCATGAACTTGGTATGAACAATTTCTGGGTTGCATGATTCGTGTCAAAATTGAAATAGTGTGACCTTAAGGCTTAACAGGGGTTGCTCAGGGTGCAAAGGCTGAATTTCACAAGTTCCATTTGAAAATTTGTTAAAACAACCCGTCACTTACCATCCCAACCAGCAACCACCCTTCCACAAAACTCAGAATAAAATAAAAATGCTAAAATAAGTGATAATAAATTAACTCACACCACCATACGCAAATCTTCAACTTTTCGATCAAGGTCCGGCAAATAACTTTCGGTAAAGATTGTTGAGGAAAATTCACGTTGGGAGAAAGTGAATATGACGTCATTGGAAGTAATGAAAACTGCATTGGATACAGCTACTGCACTGAACTCTATGGCTACTGTATTTTATCCAGATATCTATTATCTATTGAAGTGATTTGTGACACTGTATGATAGAGTCTAGAGAAGCTGCGTGAAGCTCTATGAATATGCTCATCAAATTTCTAGGAAAATTAATTCATAACTTTAAACAGGCTACAAGACCAAAAGAAGCCGATTGCGATAAGATGCCTTGCGGCGCAGCATGCCTCAGGCGTCTTGCTGAGAGACATCTATTGGGGGAAATATTAACTAGCGGATGGTACCGCACAACTAGGCACAACATGCCATGTAACGGAAGTTGGCACAGATTCAGCACAGATTCAGCACAGCACAGATTCGGTAGGGGGAAAAAAGGCCCCGGTAGAGGGAAACCTTTATGACCCGTTTTCCCCTAGAAATGACGTCACAAAGAGGTAAAAATGGGTATCAATCGAAAGCTCTCGTTTACCCAGACACAGTCCTGCAGGAAAATTCCACTTTTTCCCCATAGGAAAGTTTTTACGGAAAAATCAAAATTTCGGGTCAATGGGGGGTCCCCCCCGATTTCGTTCAAAATCGGCACACAGGTGCCCCACCACCAGCCGAGAAACTTTCCCCAAAACGGTCCCCGTTGCATTGACGTTTAAGGCCCTTAAAGCCCCGTAAACTCGTAAAAAATCCGTAAATTCGCCCTTGTACGGCCAAAAACGGGGCGCTAGGGTAAAAATGGGTATCAATCGAAAGCTCTCGTTTACCCAGACACAGTCCTGCAGGAAAATTCCACTTTTTCCCCATAGGAAAGTTTTTACGGGAAAATCAAAATTTTGGGTCAATGGGGGGTCCCCCCCGATTTCGTTCAAAATCGGCACACAGGTGCCCCACCACCAGCCGAGAAACTTTCCCCAAAACGGTCCCCGTTGCATTGACGTTTAAGGCCCGTAAAGCCCCCTAGACTCGTAAAATATCCGTAAATTCGCCCTTGTACGGCCAAAAACGGGGCGCTAGGGTAAAAATGGGTATCAATCGAAAGCTCTCGTTTACCCAGATACAGTCCTGCAGGAAAATTCCACTTTTTCCCCATAGGAAAGTTTTTACGGAAAAATCAAAATTTTGGGTCAATGGGGGGTCCCCCCCGATTTCGTTCAAAATCGGCACACAGGTGCCCCACCACCAGCCGAGAAACTTTCCCCAAAACGGTCCCCGTTGCATTGACGTTTAAGGCCCTTGAAGCCCCGTAAACTCGTAAAAAAAAATCCGTAAATTCGCCCTTGTACGGCCAAAAACGGGGCGCTAGGGTAAAAATGGGTAACAATCGAAAGCTCTCGTTTACCCAGACACAGTCCTGCAGGAAAATTCCACTTTTTCCCCATAGGAAAGTTTTTACGGAAAAATCAAAATTTCGGGTCAATGGGGGGTCCCCCCCGATTTCGTTCAAAATCGGCACACAGGTGCCCCACCACCAGCCGAGAAACTTTCCCCAAAACGGTCCCCGTTGCATTGACGTTTAAGGCCCTTAAAGCCCCGTAAACTCGTAAAAAATCCGTAAATTCGCCCTTGTACGGCCAAAAACGGGGCGCTAGGGTAAAAATGGGTATCAATCGAAAGCTCTCGTTTACCCAGACACAGTCCTGCAGGAAAATTCCACTTTTTCCCCATAGGAAAGTTTTTACGGGAAAATCAAAATTTTGGGTCAATGGGGGGTCCCCCCCGATTTCGTTCAAAATCGGCACACAGGTGCCCCACCACCAGCCGAGAAACTTTCCCCAAAACGGTCCCCGTTGCATTGACGTTTAAGGCCCGTAAAGCCCCCTAGACTCGTAAAATATCCGTAAATTCGCCCTTGTACGGCCAAAAACGGGGCGCTAGGGTAAAAATGGGTATCAATCGAAAGCTCTCGTTTACCCAGATACAGTCCTGCAGGAAAATTCCACTTTTTCCCCATAGGAAAGTTTTTACGGAAAAATCAAAATTTTGGGTCAATGGGGGGTCCCCCCCGATTTCGTTCAAAATCGGCACACAGGTGCCCCACCACCAGCCGAGAAACTTTCCCCAAAACGGTCCCCGTTGCATTGACGTTTAAGGCCCTTAAAGCCCCGTAAACTCGTAAAAAATCCGTAAATTCGCCCTTGTACGGCCAAAAACGGGGCGCTAGGGTAAAAATGGGTATCAATCGAAAGGTCTCGTTTACCCAGACACAGTCCTGCAGGAAAATTCCACTTTTTCCCCATAGGAAAGTTTTTACGGGAAAATCAAAATTTTGGGTCAATAAGGGGTCCCCCCCCGATTTCGTTCAAAATTGGCACACAGGTGCCCCACCACCAGCCGAGAAACTTTCCCCAAAACGGTCCCCGTTGCATTGACGTTTAAGGCCCGTAAAGCCCCCTAGACTCGTAAAATATCCGTAAATTCGCCCTTGTACGGCCAAAAACGGGGCGCTAGGGTAAAAATGGGTATCAATCGAAAGCTCTCGTTTACCCAGATACAGTCCTGCAGGAAAATTCCACTTTTTCCCCATAGGAAAGTTTTTACGGGAAAATCAAAATTTCGGGTCAATGGGGGGGTCCCCCCCGATTTCGTTCAAAATCGGCACACAGGTGCCCCACCACCAGCCGAGAAACTTTCCCCAAAACGGTCCCCGTTGCATTGACGTTTAAGGCCCGTAAAGCCCCGTAGACTCGTAAAATATCCGTAAAATCGCCTTTGTACGGACAAAAAAGTGGTGCTATGGTAAAAATGGGTATCAATCGAAAGCTCTCGTTTACCCAGACACAGTCCTGCAGGAAAATTCCACTTTTTCCCCATAGGAAAGTTTTTACGGAAAAATCAAAATTTCGGGTCAATGGGGGGTCCCCCCCGATTTCGTTCAAAATCGGCACACAGGTGCCCCACCACCAGCCGAGAAACTTTCCCCAAAACGGTCCCCGTTGCATTGACGTTTAAGGCCCTTAAAGCCCCGTAAACTCGTAAAAAATCCGTAAATTCGCCCTTGTACGGCCAAAAACGGGGCGCTAGGGTAAAAATGGGTATCAATCGAAAGCTCTCGTTTACCCAGACACAGTCCTGCAGGAAAATTCCACTTTTTCCCCATAGGAAAGTTTTTACGGGAAAATCAAAATTTTGGGTCAATGGGGGGTCCCCCCCGATTTCGTTCAAAATCGGCACACAGGTGCCCCACCACCAGCCGAGAAACTTTCCCCAAAACGGTCCCCGTTGCATTGACGTTTAAGGCCCGTAAAGCCCCCTAGACTCGTAAAATATCCGTAAATTCGCCCTTGTACGGCCAAAAACGGGGCGCTAGGGTAAAAATGGGTATCAATCGAAAGCTCTCGTTTACCCAGATACAGTCCTGCAGGAAAATTCCACTTTTTCCCCATAGGAAAGTTTTTACGGAAAAATCAAAATTTTGGGTCAATGGGGGGTCCCCCCGATTTCGTTCAAAATCGGCACACAGGTGCCCCACCACCAGCCGAGACTCTTTCCCCAAAACGGTCCCCGTTGCATTGACGTTTAAGGCCCTTGAAGCCCCGTAAACTCGTAAAAAATCCGTAAATTCGCCCTTGTACGGACAAAAAAGTGGTGCTATGGTAAAAATGGGTATCAATCGAAAGCTCTCGTTTACCCAGACACAGTCCTGCAGGAAAATTCCACTTTTTTCCCATAGGAAAGTTTTTACGGGAAAATCAAAATTTTGGGTCAATGGGGGGTCCCCCACGATTTCGTTCAAAATCGGCACACAGGTGCCCCACCACCAGCCGAGAAACTTTCCCCAAAACGGTCCCCGTTGCATTGACGTTTAAGGCCCGTAAAGCCCCCTAGACTCGTAAAATATCCGTAAAATCGCCTTTGTACGGACAAAAAAGTGGTGCTATGGTAAAAATGGGTATCAATCGAAAGCTCTCGTTTACCCAGACACAGTCCTGCAGGAAAATTCCACTTTTTTCCCATAGGAAAGTTTTTACGGGAAAATCAAAATTTTGGGTCAATGGGGGGTCCCCCCCGATTTCGTTCAAAATCGGCACACAGGTGCTTCACCACCAGCCGAGAAACTTTCCCCAAAACGGTCCCCGTTGCATTGACGTTTAAGGCCCTTAAAGCCCCGTAAACTCGTAAAAAATCCGTAAATTCGCCCTTGTACGGCCAAAAACGGGGCGCTAGGGTAAAAATGGGTATCAATCGAAAGCTCTCATTTACCCAGACACAGTCCTGCAGGAAAATTCCACTTTTTCCCCATAGGAAAGTTTTTACGGGAAAATCAAAATTTCGGGTCAATGGGGGGTCCCCCCCCGATTTCGTTCAAAATCGGCACACAGGTGCCCCACCACCAGCCGAGAAACTTTCCCCAAAACGGTCCCCGTTGCATTGACGTTTAAGGCCCTTAAAGCCCCGTAAACTCGTAAAAAATCCGTAAATTCGCCCTTGTACGGCCAAAAACGGGGCGCTAGGGTAAAAAAGGGTATCAATCGAAAGCTCTCGTTTACCCAGACACAGTCCTGCAGGAAAATTCCACTTTTTCCCCATAGGAAAGTTTTTACGGGAAAATCAAAATTTCGGGTCAATGGGGGGGTCCCCCCCGATTTCGTTCAAAATCGGCACACAGGTGCCCCACCACCAGCCGAGAAACTTTCCCCAAAACGGTCCCCGTTGCATTGACGTTTAAGGCCCGTAAAGCCCCGTAGACTCGTAAAATATCCGTAAAATCGCCTTTGTACGGACAAAAAAGTGGTGCTATGGTAAAAATGGGTATCAATCGAAAGCTCTCGTTTACCCAGACACAGTCCTGCAGGAAAATTCCACTTTTTTCCCATAGGAAAGTTTTTACGGGAAAATCAAAATTTTGGGTCAATTTGGGGTCCCCCCCGATTTCGTTCAAAATCGGCACACAGGTGCCCCACCACCAGCCGAGAAACTTTCCCCAAAACGGTCCCCGTTGCATTGACGTTTAAGGCCCTTAAAGCCCCGTAAACTCGTAAAAAATCCGTAAATTCGCCCTTGTACGGCCAAAAACGGGGCGCTAGGGTAAAAAAGGGTATCAATCGAAAGCTCTCGTTTACCCAGACACAGTCCTGCAGGAAAATTCCACTTTTTCCCCATAGGAAAGTTTTTACGGGAAAATCAAAATTTCGGGTCAATGGGGGTCCCCCCCGATTTCGTTCAAAATCGGCACACAGGTGCCCCACCACCAGCCGAGAAACTTTCCCCAAAACGGTCCCCGTTGCATTGACGTTTAAGGCCCGTAAAGCCCCCTAGACTCGTAAAATATCCGTAAAATCACCTTTGTACGGACAAAAAAGTGGTGCTATGGTATAAATGGGTATCAATCGAAAGCTCTCGTTTACCCAGATACAGTCCTGCAGGAAAATTCCACTTTTTCCCCATAGGAAAGTTGACCCAAAATTTTGATTTTCCCGTAAAAACTTTCCTATGGGGAAAAAGTGGAATTTTCCTGCAGGACTGTGTCTGGGTAAACGAGAGCTTTCGATTGATACCCTTTTTTACCCTAGCGCCCCGTTTTTGGCCGTACAAGGGCGAATTTACGGATTTTTTACGAGTTTACGGGGCTTTAAGGGCCTTAAACGTCAATGCAACGGGGACCGTTTTGGGGAAAGTTTCTCGGCTGGTGGTGGGGCACCTGTGTGCCGATTTTGAACGAAATCGGGGGGGACCCCCCATTGACCCAAAATTTTGATTTTCCCGTAAAAACTTTCCTATGGGAAAAAAGTGGAATTTTCCTGCAGGACTGTGTCTGGGTAAACGAGAGCTTTCGATTGATACCCATTTTTACCATAGCACCACTTTTTTGTCCGTACAAAGGCGATTTTACGGATATTTTACGAGTCTAGGGGGCTTTACGGGCCTTAAACGTCAATGCAACGGGGACCGTTTTGGGGAAAGTTTCTCGGCTGGTGGTGGGGCACCTGTGTGCCGATTTTGAACGAAATCGGGGGGGACCCCCCATTGACCCGAAATTTTGATTTTCCCGTAAAAACTTTCCTATGGGGAAAAAGTGGAATTTTCCTGCAGGACTGTGTCTGGGTAAACGAGAGCTTTCGATTGATACCCTTTTTTACCCTAGCGCCCCGTTTTTGGCCGTACAAGGACGAATTTACGGATTTTTTACGAGTTTACGGGGCTTTAAGGGCCTTAAACGTCAATGCAACGGGGACCGTTTTGGGGAAAGTTTCTCGGCTGGTGGTGGGGCACCTGTGTGCCGATTTTGAACGAAATCGGGGGGGACCCCCGATTGACCCGAAATTTTGATTTTCCCGTAAAAACTTTCCTATGGGAAAAAAGTGGAATTTTCCTGCAGGACTGTGTCTGGGTAAACGAGAGCTTTCGATTGATACCCATTTTTACCATAGCACCACTTTTTTGTCCGTACAAAGGCGATTTTACGGATATTTTACGAGTCTAGGGGGCTTTACGGGCCTTAAACGTCAATGCAACGGGGACCGTTTTGGGGAAAGTTTCTCGGCTGGTGGTGGGGCACCTGTGTGCCGATTTTGAACGAAATCGGGGGGGACCCCCCATTGACCCGAAATTTTGATTTTCCCGTAAAAACTTTCCTATGGGGAAAAAATGGAATTTTCCTGCAGGACTGTGTCTGGGTAAACGAGAGCTTTCGATTGATACCCTTTTTTACCCTAGCGCCCTGTTTTTGGCCGTACAAGGGCGAATTTACGGATTTTTTACGAGTTTACGGGGCTTTAAGGGCCTTAAACGTCAATGCAACGGGGACCGTTTTGGGGAAAGTTTCTCGGCTGGTGGTGGGGCACCTGTGTGCCGATTTTGAACGAAATCGGGGGGGGACCCCCCATTGACCCAAAATTTTGATTTTCCCGTAAAAACTTTCCTATGGGAAAAAAGTGGAATTTTCCTGCAGGACTGTGTCTGGGTAAACGAGAGCTTTCGATTGATACCCATTTTTACCATAGCACCACTTTTTTGTCCGTACAAAGGCGATTTTACGGATATTTTACGAGTCTAGGGGGCTTTACGGGCCTTAAACGTCAATGCAACGGGGACCGTTTTGGGGAAAGTTTCTCGGCTGGTGGTGGGGCACCTGTGTGCCGATTTTGAACGAAATCGGGGGGGACCCCCATTGACCCGAAATTTTGATTTTCCCGTAAAAACTTTCCTATGGGGAAAAGTGGAATTTTCCTGCAGGACTGTGTCTGGGTAAACGAGAGCTTTCGATTGATACCCTTTTTTACCCTAGCGCCCCGTTTTTGGCCGTACAAGGGCGAATTTACGGATTTTTTTACGAGTTTACGGGGCTTTAAGGGCCTTAAACGTCAATGCAACGGGGACCGTTTTGGGGAAAGTTTCTCGGCTGGTGGTGGGGCACCTGTGTGCCGATTTTGAACGAAATCGGGGGGGACCCCCCATTGACCCAAAATTTTGATTTTCCCGTAAAAACTTTCCTATGGGAAAAAAGTGGAATTTTCCTGCAGGACTGTGTCTGGGTAAACGAGAGCTTTCGATTGATACCCATTTTTACCATAGCACCACTTTTTTGTCCGTACAAAGGCGATTTTACGGATATTTTACGAGTCTAGGGGGCTTTACGGGCCTTAAACGTCAATGCAACGGGGACCGTTTTGGGGAAAGTTTCTCGGCTGGTGATGGGGCACCTGTGTGCCGATTTTGAACGAAATCGGGGGGACCCCCCCATTGACCCGAAATTTTGATTTTCCCGTAAAAACTTTCCTATGGGGAAAAAGTGGAATTTTCCTGCAGGACTGTGTCTGGGTAAACGAGAGCTTTCGATTGATACCCTTTTTTACCCTAGCGCCCCGTTTTTGGCCGTACAAGGGCGAATTTACGGATTTTTTACGAGTTTACGGGGCTTTAAGGGCCTTAAACGTCAATGCAACGGGGACCGTTTTGGGGAAAGTTTCTCGGCTGGTGGTGGGGCACCTGTGTGCCGATTTTGAACGAAATCGGGGGGGACCCCCCATTGACCCGAAATTTTGATTTTCCCGTAAAAACTTTCCTATGGGAAAAAAGTGGAAATTTCCTGCAGGACTGTGTCTGGGTAAACGAGAGCTTTCGATTGATACCCATTTTTACCTCTTTGTGACGTCATTTCTAGGGGAAAACGGGTCATAAAGGTTTCCCTCTACCGGGGCCTTTTTTCCCCCTACCGAATCTGTGCTGTGCTGAACCTGTGCTGAATCTGTGCCAACTTCCGTTACATCAACATGCCGATGTGAAAATCTCGCCCCGGCCCGTGTGCAATATTTGCCGTGTTAATGAATGAATTCCAGCTTTGGATGTAAACAATAATGAGAAAGTGTCTATATCCATCAAACACCACACGGCACACCCACCAACTGTCGAAGAACAGAAGCACATTTCGAAATCAAGAGCACAATGCCGTGTATTCAGGTGGTGTGGCGGGCTTACCTTGGAACTTTTGATGTGCTGCTTCGTCTGGCTTCTTCTGCTGGAAGAATCGACACGATACCGCTAAAAGCAGCCGCCTGGATCGCATTTTGACACCTCCAGCAGCAGAACGTCAGCAATTCCCTTGCCATTGGTACCGACGCATAGGCCTTTTCAGATCGCTTCGCACCTCGAGATTTCTAGTTCAGATTCTCGATTTTCTACTCGACTAAGAGTAGTCCATACAAACCAAATCGGACTTATGTGTGCCTAGTTATCTAAATACCATTGGTTTTTCGATGGTTACCCGTATATCATCCCTGCGCTTCAATGCTTTGCCACGCGAAACCCTTTATCGTCCGATCGAGCCGTTCGTTGAGTGCAAACGGGCGGCAGACTGGGCTACCCTCCCAGTCAGACTTCTACTGCAGTGCTCGCTTGTTCGCAGTTCCGCCCGCGTCTCGCCGTCTCCCAGTGGCCTGTGTTACCCCCGTGTGATTAGTTAGTGTTAGTTACCCCAACTACAGGAGCATGCATATCGACTGACGGAACCGTCTCTGCTCTGCTGTACCTGCAGCAGTCGTCGTCCAACAACCATGTTCACTCAGTGGTTCTTCTGTCGCCTGAGCAGTGAGCTGAAGAGGATCTCAGACATATCCCCATCCCATCACCGTCCCTCAACACGCACAGGCACCAATTCTAAATATACGTTTATTCAAATGAAAACAAGTGATCTTCTAGTACATTAAACACGTTGTTAAGGCACACGTTTGGCACAGATTCTCGATGTTCGGGGCACATAAGCTGAACAGGTTCGCGTGAAACACAAGCTGGTTACTGATTCCACTGGTCTGATTTACAATCCATTTAATTTACCAATCGGACTCGTTACGCTGAATTCATGTAATTTGTGTTTATCTGTCGGTAAAACTGTCTGAGCTACTTCAAAGATAGTAAATTTTAGGTTGAACCATAATTTAATTGTGAGCACGTAATTCAGAGGTGAATCTAAAAGTAAACCACCTTCTTTAAATACGCAGAGTCTGTTTACACACATTACAAGCGAGTCAAACATTAAAAATAATAATTATCAACATAGCTAATCAAAAACCAGTGGATCAGTAACCAGTCTGGTGTATAGTTTGAGCGCTCCGGCAGCCATGACAAAGCCACGCACCAGAAAGTATGATGAGATTTCCGCTCCATAATTGCACGTACAAACTGCCTGTCTAAAAAACAAAGCTGGGCTGAGATTAAGTACGTAGGCCTAGACGCCCACAGCCAGCTGCCACGTAAAATGAGGCTGGCGAGCGAACAAAAAGGTCAAGACTCCACTGTGGCGCGAAAATACAAAAAAATGCGCGGCAAAACACAAGTACAAATCAAACCACCGATGGCAATATGAATGTGCGTGGCGGCCGCGCGAGGCCAGCTCACCCCTTAAAGTCCAATGTTGGCACTCAGAGTTGTACGCTGCGGAGCGGTGCCATGACCCATCCTCCCGCCGGACACCCACAATAATCTCAGAGGCGGGCTCCGGCTGCCAGCACAGAAAGGCGCGCCTAAAACCTGCCACGTCTGCTCATGATACTCTACTGTTATAGAAAACTCCCCATATGGATTTTTCTCAGAAATAAATCTCCAAAATACCCAGGCGAACTCCGCACCCCTCTAAAGACCATGGCGAGAGATTCGTGGGTGGGGTGCGGCGACCAGATCTCTACTCGGCACCCGTTCGACTCGATCCGGCACTCTCACTCTCTCACTCACCCACTCACACACTCTCACTCACTCCCTCAGCTCCGCCCGTCGGCCGTCAACTTGCAGACGGCGCCGCTGATCCGTCGGCGCTCCTCGCGGCGCGTGGCTCCGCCGGGCGATGGGGCGTTACGGGACGGTTAGCTCTGGCCGGCCAAGCGGACACATCGGCGGAAAAAAGAGAGAACAGAGTGTTAGTACGAGATAGCCGGGCGGGCGGGCGGGGTGCGCGGCACGCGTATGGTACACAGCACAACGACACCGGGCATTAGTGTCGGGGAAATGGTGTACCCGACCGCTGGCGAGAGGCGTTAATTCGAGAGCTAACGGGGCCCCGCGCGGCCGGCGGTCGGCGACGGGCCGGGACCGGCCGGCGTCGGCACCGCTCACTGCTGAGCGGAGCCGCCGCGGCACATGCTCCCGGCCCAGCCCCCGCGCCGGACACTCGATTTAGTGGGACGGTCAGGGCGTCGAGAGCTAGATGTAGAACCACACCAAAGACATTCTACACGTGACACTACAGCACCGAGTGAGAAATACGTCCGATCGAATACGATAGGAATACACAGAAGCCAGAAGTTCAGTTCTAAGCCGTTATTTGAGCTGCAGTGAATTCTCTAAAAGAGGCCGGTTTGATGCGGATTGACCGGGGAAAAGTGTTAGCCACTACGGGTTTAGCATTTATTACGAACGCCTCGAATAACCCTTACGTCCAGTCACCTCTCAGCTGTCTTTTTTATTCGCAAAAACGGCAGACTCAAAGGTAAACATTTCAATGTATTGCTGAACGTTCCTCACAAGTCCCACAGCGTACCCGCGAGACACACGGCCCTGAACGGAGGCCCGCGGCTCCCAGAGGTGCACAGCGCTGAAATGGGCGGGCCTCGGATCGCCTGACGCCAGCGGTCGGGGCCCTGACACAACCGGAGGAGGCGATCCCCTCCACATCCCCCACATAACCCATCGGAAAGACCAGGGCGCCACCGGAACGCCGATTCAATAGCAGCTCCGTAACAGTAAAACAAAGACATATAGCCCTCTGAAGCTCAACATATACAATCTGCTCGAACACGACACCAAAGCCAAATCCCCAAGAAGCTCGCTTACCAAATCCAGAACTATCGAGTTCTGATGCTTCACTTTGAATCATGACCGGTAAACGTCATTCTCAAAGCAGGATGATATCCCCCAAAACACTGACCTCGTGGAAATAGGTACGGCACAGTTGTGAAACACCAACTAACCTGCTCCGATCGAAGGAGGCGCAGGTGTCTGGCGAGCGCGCGCGAGCTACATTTGTGACATGGAGCCCACCCGCTGGTAGGGGTGTTCGCGGCCCTGGGTCAGCATCTGACGGTGCTTGGAGGCGGCGGCACCTAGATCAGCGGCAGCGGGGGCGTCACGACTGGTCCGGGCGGCAGACGGACACAGACTGGACCGACAGACAGGAGACACAGACCGGACAGACAGACAGACAGACAGACAGACACAGAGGCACCAGGAACACATGTAGAGTGGCGGAGGGAGCGAGAAAGGAACGGGAGAACGCCTCAATTAACCACCGCTCGGATAACACAGCCGGAGACTGATCTACCGGGTGAGCGGCAGGATCACATCTCCCACTTCTTTGTGTATTGCTCGGGTTTGGGGCGCCCACTTTAGCGCCTATGGACTATAAATAAACCCTCATTCAGATCCTCTATCAGGCCTCTTACAAAGCTTGCTTTCAACAATGAAACTACGCTTCGTGCGTAGAACATAGCTGACCGACATAACATTATTTGAGCTAGACGAATTTCGGTTAAAAGATCTCAAAGTTAATTTCCACTACGTTGAAGCGATGATATTTGACGGATGATACTCGCTGAGTTCCACTGGTAACAATTGCGATAGCTCATGTTGTTAACAATTTGTCTCCAGTAAAAGGAATGTTCCATGCCCATGGACATTATCGACCGATTAATGTTTAGTAGCCAGGGTACCAAATTTATGACAAGTAGTACAGCTACTTTGTTAAATTGTTAGAATATCCTATAGTAGTTCATATTAAACCGAAGGGCAGCTGATATCAAACACATTGTCAAATATGAAATGTAAAAAGCCGCCTTAGGATGCTAGGACCAGTTACCTTCGTAAATCCGGATGGATCCAAGGCCAATGAAACTCCATAATCATTATCTGCTAACGCGGGAAGGCCCAGCGCTGCTCCTTCAACTTCACGAAACATTCCAATGCCAATGAAATGTAAGGGATAGAGCAAGCGAACTATGCCAAAGAACAGAGCTATAGTGCAGCGGCGTATTTAGAAAATCGCGAAGGGGGGGGCCAAGGGTTTGGAGGGCGCCACCTCACCCAAGGAGGGCGCCATACGGTCGCGAGATAAAAAATCGCTCAGTGGGGGTTGGGGGGTTGAGAGGCGTTTTTTTACCATGCCACCAGTTTTTTTTTTTGCGTAACCTCGTATAGGTCGTGCTGCATTGATTTTGCATCGTGTGTATTCTTTATACTTCAGGTCACAAAAGGTCAAGTGTTCTTGAAATGCTGCGCCGAAGGCGCGCGAAATTTTTGAAAACAACCTTTTCCTCCGCTTTTTAGGCACGCCTTTTATACGATCACCGTTCAAAGCTCCTCTCGCTCTTTTACCAAATTTGAAGGTGTAAAAAATACCTAAGGTTTGGTCGGGCCGCTGCCACACAAACTGTACAGAAAGCTTGGCTCATGGGTGTCGATGCATAAAAGTTTATTGGCGGTGGCATATCTACGCACCAGATCACCGTATCGGATTGATACCGGAGCGCGAGATGCGTAAACATCATCCAAATTACCTCAGACCAGCCTTCATAGCCTTCTCACAGATGCATAGTGTACCCACATAACCAGTTTCAAAAGTACGTCGAGTATAAAGTACGTATGGAATAAGTACGTCAAGGACGGAAGTAGGCGTAGGTATCGCAGAGGTAGGTACGTACAGTACAAAGTACGTATACCTAGACAAAAGTACCTACGTCAAGGAAGAAAATACGCATCGAAAAAGTACGTAAATTATAAAGTACGTATATCGCTAAGCATAGATGTCGCAATCGGTCGCAACTACAGCGAGACATGCAGTGCAAACGGTAGCAGACAGCAGTAGTTTCCCCTACCAAAGTGGTGGTTTTCTACCACAGACGCTCGTCGAGGTCGGAAATTCCAAATACGCGTTTCAATCACCGAAACTTCAGATGCCTGCTGTTGCGCCCGAACCTGTTGACAATACTTAATCGTAATCCATATAGATGTCATGATGCACGTAAAGTAGGATCAATCCGTTAAGACCAAAGACGTGTTTTATGCATCGTAGAGCGTAGATAGTTTTGGTAGGTATAGATACTTCATTCATTGTGCTGAATGCACGTTCATTTGTGGCAGTTTTCACAGGCAAGACATCAACTATGTGCAATAGAACGACTAAGTTGAAAAACATGCCAAAGGAGTAAATAAATGATAGGAGGGCAGCGATCAACGGATGTTGCCAATAGGTAGAAGGGCTGCGATCCACAGGAGGGCACTAATAGGTAGAAGAGCCCCGATCAACATCCCGAGTTTCGACAGTAGGGCACCGATAGGTAGGAAGTTGGCGAGCAGCAGGAGGGCGCCAATGGATAGAAGGGCAGCGATCAACAGGAGGGCACCAATAGGTAGGAGGGCGCCGATCAACAATCAACAGGAGGGCGCCACCAGGTAAGAGGGTGGCGAGGAACAGGAGAGCACCAATAGGAGGGTGGCGATCAACAAGAGGTCGCCAATAGGTGGGAGGGCGGTCATCAACTGGAAGTCGCCAATGAGCGGAAGGGTGACGATTAAAATGGGGGTGGCAATGGTGAGGAGGGCGCCTTTGCTCAAGAGGATGACACGAACAGGAGGGCGTCTGTGCGGAGGGCGCTGGTCAACAGGAAGGTGCCAGTGGATAGGAGGGCGGTGATAAACAGGAGGGTGCCAGTGGTTAGGAGGGCGGCGATCTACACGAGGGCGCCAATAGGAGAAGGGCCCCGATTAACATTCAACAGGAAGGACTAGGGAACCAATAGGTAGGAGGGCGGCACTGAACAAGAGGGTGCCAAAAGGGAGAAAGGCGGCCTTCAAAATTTCACATGAGGGCGCAATAGGTAGGAGAGCGCCAATAATTATGAGGACGCCGATCAGCAGAAGGGCGGCAATGTGTAGCAGGGTGGCAACCTACAGGAGGGCGCCTTCGGGTGAGAGGGCGCTTATTTACAGGACAGCGGCTTACATAGGCGACCACCGTTACGCTTAGAGAGCTACAGCCTACAAATGTGGTTGGAGGGCGCCCGAGGGAGCCCTCCAACCGTATTTGGAGGGCGTATTTGGAATGGGCGTCCTCCGAGGGCGACCTCCATCCGTATTTTCCCTGTAAACACATTCGCGATTGGAGGGCGCCCTCCAGTCGCGATTGTTTTTCGATTCGATTATATCACAATTGCATTTGCGATTGGAGGGCGCCTTCGGCGCCCTCCAATCGCAAAGGGCGCCTTCGGCGCCCAAGGGGGGGGCCATGGCCCAGTGGCCCCCCCCCTGCCTACGCCCCTGCTATAGTGTCACCGAATTGACTGAAGCGGGGTCAAGATTAAGCAAACGAAAAAGGATACGGGGAGGACAAGTTGTGTGGGGATCACTGCCACATACCAGTTTACACAAAACCAGAACACGAAAAGCATTGCACTGACAACATACAGCCCAAAGACAATGCACAATCACCAATTACCTGACTAGACGCTGGTTCATCACTGTAACTTTCTCCGGGCTAGCCAAGTTACGTCTGAATTATCCACAACAGCATCATTGAAATCGAACCTCAACAACACCGAAAATGATAAACCAAAGTGGACATCAGATAAGCAGACACCAACTCAGCCCTTGCGAAACCAATTCGGCACATATAAAAGTAGAAACCAACTAAAAAGACCTGAATACAGCTCACAACTGGCCTGCCATTGCGAAAAATACCCGGCGTTCGGTAAAACAAACCACGGAGAAGCACCCGGGACGGACTCGGTGCGCGCCTCAGTGCCCGGCCGGGCTGCGGCGGGCCTCACCGCGCAAAGTACCCACCAGTGATGTCCGCCGCATAGTCGGAGAGCTGCAGCGGCGGCGGCGGCGCGGTCAGCTGCGCCTGCGCCGCCGCCGCGTACTGCGCAGCGTAGTCGGGCGCGTACTGGGCGTACATGAGCGCCGCGTCGCCGGCTGAGATGAGCGGAGGCGGAGCCGAGTTGATGAGCGCCGTGCCGGCGGCCATCCGCGGCGAGAGCATCAGCGGCGCGCCCAGCGAGGCCGGCGTGCGGCACATGGTGGTCATCAGGCCGCCCAGGCCGGCCATCTGACCGAGCTGCTGCAGCCGCGGACCGGCCGCCTCACCTGGCGGAGAGCGAGCGAGACATCACGGGGTGGAGCGGCGGGGATGGGGATCAGTGGCTGTGCAGAGTAACGTGGCCTCACGCTAGGTCATTGTCAAAAATCTGCTATCAATGGTCTCTACATATACAAGGAGATACGCAATGTTATACTGTCATGGGGGCAAATTAGCCGTCCGTACAATTATGGTGTAAATGATGTTTCCTTATACGCGATTTCAGCTTCACATAAAAGACATTAATCATTGTTGAGCGAAAAATACTAAATTCAATATCCATCTGGAATGAGTGCTTAAAAATAGACGTCGTCTGCTGGCAGCTACATCTAGACATTTCTTACACAGCGGACATACATACGGTTCATGTACTCTTATTTATTGTATTTTTATACCATTTTAATTATGAGGAGTTTCTTTGAGTTCTGACTATTCGAAAGCATCAATCGCTCAAGTTTTTATTAGTTATTACCAGGAGAACGACGGATCACAGGCGGGATTACCCTAGGGGCGACGATTTCGGGCGCTACAATTGCGTCTCTGTCTATATGGCTATGGCACCCAGGACAATGGCGATTCCACCATTAGCCCCATAGTGATCTGGATGACTTCCCAGAGGCCTGTGCCCGGTACCGGTAACATACCTGCACATCATCCAGTCCTTTTAGTGAAATATCTACTCTGGCTACCAGCCCAGACCTAAATGAGGTTAGCTACGTGAATACGACATTCGTTAGTTTTCACTAGGCACGACGAACGTCGCCATCACAGATAAGTCGCTGCGACTCAGATCTACATTGTCACTGTTATTTGAGCAGCAGCCTGCGCTCTGCTCCTGGCACACACAAATACTCTGAATACGGATCAATCAACAACGGCGCTTCGATATTCTACGGGTAACTCTTTCCCTTCAACACAGTTGTGAAGCACATCCTCCATTTTATCTACAGCACCCAAACGTTGCACCGTTTCTGCGTGCGCCACAGCGTTACCTGGCGAGCCTGCCACCGGGACGCTGCCGGCGCCCGTCTGCTCGCTGCTCGGCTCTGTAAACAGGCACCACCCGTTTCACCAACGCGTCGTCCTCAGACACCTGTTCGGCCCCGTACCGGGAGAGCCTTCGCGAGGGACGGAAAGCGCGGTATGTGCGCTAAATACAGCCGCCGGGTGTCAGGAGAGCACTCGAGGGATTTGGTGAGATAATACCCTGGAGAGCTCATGTCGAAGAGCTATCCTAGTGAGGGCGGTACCGCGAACAGACAGCTGGTGTCACTTAGCGGCTAACAGGAACTAAAAGTTATCCTTCTCCCGATAGGTGGCGGCGCCAGCGCCTCTATCCATGGCACCCACATCGAGAACCTCATTTTTCTTCGTCAGTGGAAAGACAGTGGCATTCCCCGGGCCTCCTAGTACATTTGAATAATCCATGAATGCCTGGTAGGCGTGCGTCGCCATAGGTGTCCGACGGAGGCGATGACCGGGCTCCCGACAGAGGAGTGAGGGGAGGGAGAGACGGTGAGGCCGCCAGCACGTGCGGGGGACGGCCGCCTCACTGGGATGACATATGAGGTGTAGAAACATACAAGTTGTTCATGAGGGTGTCTGCTGTGACAAATTTTTGAGAAGTCCATGACGCCTCCTCTTTACAAGTCCTAAAATCATCAAACCCAAAGTATCGTCGTTTGGATAATTCCACCCTAACACGTAAGCAATCTCGGTGGATAGGCATCACCTAAACCAGCAAGCCTTTCGAGAATCACTACCTATCATTCTGATCACATAAACTCCACTTAGAACCCCAGTGGTGCCGTTCGTCATTTCCCCAACAGTCCAGTGCCCTATCAGCCGCGATTCGGCGCAGTGACGCGGGGGAGAGCGGCCACCCGGCGCACCCCACTCACTGCTCGAGTCCCGGTAGGTGCCGTTGATGATGGCCAGTTCCATCAGCTGCCGCTTCTTCAGCTCGTCTTCACCGTCCGCCTGAGGGCACACAGGGGTAGACGGGGAGTCAAACAGGGAATCACACAGGGAGTCAGACGGAGGGATCAAGCGGGGACAGACCAGGGAGTCAGACAGGGGTTAGACAGGGGTCACACAAGGAGTTAGACAGGGAGCCATACAGGGGCAGACAGGGAGTCAGACAGGGGTTAGACAGGGGGTCATACAAGGAGTTCGACAGGGGCAGACAGGGAGTCAGACAGGGGTTAGGCCAGTCAGCGTCACAGCGTAGTTGACACATTTATCTAAAATACAAGAGAAAGGGAGGATCTGAGCTAGAGCGAAAACAAGAACAAGCGATAGAAAGCGATATTGAAGGAGAATGCGGGAAAGAGGTCACCGGGAGGGATAGGGGCCATAAGATTCAGACGAGGATCAAGGTACGAGGAACTTAGTCAAGAGTCACAGGCGCTGCAGGGCTAGATTCGAGGGCCGAGCTCCATACCAGGCAGATCTCGAACGATTATACGGACGCCTTGCGTTAACTTTAAGTCCCATCAAAACCTACTTCATAGGTTCAAAGTCTGCATCACTACAGGACACGAAATGGGGATAAACACCAAACGGGCTTCAAATTCGAGGTCACACCGCTGGTGGATACTTCACTACCCCACACAAATCGGCCAGAGTTGGGCGGCGGCGCACGATATTCTCCCATGTCTGCTCTGAACGGCCCGCCCTCCACCCCTCCCTCCGGCCTCCGCAGCCGCCGCCCGAACACTGCGATTTCTGCATACATAAGCGGCCCTATCGCGGCCAATCCCAGGCGCCGCCTCTCAGGCCGTGTTACATCAGACGGACTGCTGGAAGACGCCATCGCTGCTGTCGCCGATGTTTCAAAGAATTTCAAACATGATTGTATGATATGCGAGCAGCACCAGGAACAGGGAATTCTGCACATCTAAAGAGATTGACCGGGTTGAGTTTCTTTTCCAGTCGTCCAAAGTTAACACGGTGAGAGTCAAGCGCTGGCCGAACAAACCTCAGCTGTGGTGTCGTTCGCACAAGCGACTACACCATACCACGATCCAGCCATGTGACAGATAACTGCAGGTTGTTTGAAATAGACAAACACTCTTCGTTAGTACGGCGGTGTCGAACTCGCGAAAACGAGACCTAACGCGTACACTCGGATCATATACGATATACAATGCACGGATATAGTCCTATATAGAGTCGCCGCTAGGGCAGGGGTCATCTGGTGCGGTCCCCGCCCTCCTATGAGCGTCGGGAGCCGCAGGGGCGCTCTGTGCTGGCCACACCACAGGACGGACAGTCCCAGTCCCGCGGCGCGCCGGTCAGCGGTAAACAAACGGCCGGCGCCGGTCGCACCCTTCCGCGCGCCGGCGTCCCATGCCTCCTCTAGCGCCGCGGGGAGAGAGACGGAGACGCGTATTTGGAAATTCCAACCTCGACGAGCGTCTGTGGTAGAAAACCACCACTTTGGTAGGGGAAACTACTGCTGTCTGCTACCGTTTGCACTGCATGTCTCGCTGTATGTAGTTGCGACCGATTGCGACATCTATGCAAGTCGGCAAGGGTACGTAAGTACCTTAGCGATATACTTACTTTATAATTAACGTACTTTTTCGATGCGTATTTTCTTCTTTGACGTACTTTTGTCTAGGTATACGTAGGTACTTTGTACTGTACGTACCTACCCACCTCTGCAATACGCCTACTTCTGTCCTTAACGTACTTATTCCATACGTACTTTATACTCGACGTACTTTTGGGATACGTACTTTTGCCCTTGACGTACTCTTGTCCATACGTACTTTATGCTGTACGCACTTTTACGATATGTGATATTGTCCTTGACGTACTTTTGTCCATGCGTACTTAATAATGCACCTGTTATACGTACTTCTTCGATACGTACTTTTGTCCTTGACGTACTTTATCCATTCGTGCTTTATACTGTACGTACTTTTGCCATGCGTACTTTTGTCCTTGACGTAGTTTTGTCCATGCGTACTTTATATTGTACGAACATTTGCGATACGTACTTTTGTCCTACGTGCCAGGGGCGTCGCCACAGATTTTCGACAGGGGGACGGATCGGCCGACTAAAAACCCAAAATTAGGTATCGTTACCGTACTTTTTCAGGCCGATGCACTATCTGTTCAACGATACTGGGCTGAATTCCTACGCGGTACGCGTCTGAAGTATTCATTTTTACACGGGTAACCAGAGCCTCCGGTCTTCTATCAGGGTATAATTGTTGACACATGCCGTCAATCTGATAGTTAACTGTTAATGTATACATCATACGTGGTGGTTGCTTTAGGTATTTGTCACAACTCTGAACTCATAATCTCTTTTGGTCTCCAGTATGAATATTGAATGGGCGGCGCGGGTCGGCGCGAAGCGCCGCGGGATTTTCGTCGAGGTCGGAAATGTGTATGCATAGATGTCGCTACGATAGCTTGAGTCAAGCTATCGTAGCGACATCTATCAGCGTAGCGACAGCTATCAGCGTCGACATGCAGTGCAAATTGTAGCAGACAGCAGTAGTTTCCCCTACCAAAGTGGTGGTTTTCTACCACAGACGCTCGTCTAGGTCGGAAATTCCAAATACGCGACGGAGACGCCGGCGCGCACCTCCCCTCCCCTCCCGCGCCGGAGAGGGAGGGAGGGAGGCAGGAATGTCGCGGCGGGGGAGACGCGGCGCCGCGGCGCACAACACGACCGCCCGGCGGCTGCCGGCCGGGCCCGGCGCAGGGCAGGAGACGTCAGTCCGAGCTCCACACAGCGAGAGTACCCAACGCACTGATAAAAACTAGCCATGGCCCTGAACATCTGTGCAGCCGTGGTCAGCCGTGTGCAGCCGTGGTCAGCCGTGTGCAGCCGTGGTCAGGTGCCGGTGGCCGGTGCCCGGCCCGGGCCCACAGACAGGGTGCTGCTGACCCCGATAGCTGGGGCGCTGGGCGGCGCCGGCAGGAGCCCCCGGCCCACTGTCGGTCTCCGGGTCACGGTAAACACCCATACCGTTATCCAGATTAGTCTGTGGTCGCCATCTCGGCACTCAGTCATGCCCAGCCCGGGCCCGGTGCAGACCCAGAGAAGTCTCCCGAGCCAGCAGGTCTATGGTTCGCCTGTCCCCGTCCACGGTCTGTCTGTCTGTCTGCCGATACCGGGACCGGTGCGGTGTTTACTCAGCGGGGCTGGTCTGTCGGATGCGGCCCCTCCGGCGGCGGCCGGTCGAGCTGTGACCCGTCAGTGGTCGGCGGAGGGCGGACGCCGATTTGGGGCTGCGGCGTGTCCATCCGACCAGCGGCAGCTGATGGACGGCCGGGCGCGTCGCCAACGTCAGCACCCGAGCGGCGGCGGCCGCCTCAAAAACGGGCCGCCGTGAATCCGCCGCAGCTTTTTAAAGAACGGCCCGACCCGGCCGCCAGGTCACGCATAACTCCGGGTGGTGTGGGGTAACCGGCGATCGTGATGATCGGCGATAACATTTTAAAGGCACTTGTGCGCGAAAGGTGCACTGCAGGCTAGAACGACCCTTTCCCAATCGCCCCAGCCACCCTGAAGAGCTGTGGGAACTTAACCAGTCTTTGAGCAGTTTGAGCTACGCTCTAGCTAAACGCATATGCACCGCCCGGGGTAAAATGGCGATTCTTGCAGTTCTTAAGAAAGGCGTCAGTAACTAGTAGAGAGGAACGGTCCACAGCGAACGGCCGGGCACGGCACGCCGGACTCCGTGGCGCAACACCCTCCTCCCTCCCTCCTGGCGCGTCGGTCGGACACGTGCGGCGCGCTGCGTTCGGCCGGTGCACGCGGACAGGCCACCCCGCCTGCAGACGTGGCCACATCTGGAGCCAACGTGTGGCAGTGTGTGGTCAGAAGGGCGCCGTCCCAGCTGCTCAGCCGGCCGGCGAATTTACGGCCCTCCTGGCGTCACACTGTCCGCCGTCCGTCCCTCCGTCCGTCGGTTCGTCTGGCCGGCTGGCTGGCTCTCCGGACCACCGTCTGGCTCCCCACAACTAACTCATCCACACATCTCATAGTTCGGCGCACGCCTGCAGCTGCTTTCCTTCTGAACCCGACCGTCTCCCCATCCGCCCTCCAAAAAAGGCTGGTGTAGCCAATCTCGCATTCGACTTTTCCATTCCCCGTCATCCCTCATTGGGACAGTCTGGAGCACTTTCTCTATCCTCAGTTGTTTCCAGCTTTGCTCTCCCACACCTCAGCCCCCATTCCACACCTCAGTCCTTCCCTCTGTTCCCTATTCGGTATTAGGGTCCCCTAATAAAGTTTAGTGGCCCCTCTGGAGTGTGAAGACCAGCTGGGTCGGAGGTGGGTTGGGAGCGGCAGTCCGTGGGGAGGGGCGAGGGCGGGGAGGGCGAGGGAGGAGACGAGAGGACAGACGTCAGTCAGTGAGAGGGGACGACGGTGACAACAGAGGCGGGCCGCGAGTGGCGCGTCTGGTGGTGTGATTGCGCGTGTGTGGTAGGATAGCGTGCGTGTGCTGGCATCACGCAGCCTCTATCGTGCACGGTACGGTGGTGAGAGCCAGAGCGGGACGCGGACCATGGACTCCGCGCAACACTACGGACCCGGCACCGTTGGAATGGCAGGTGGGTCCGGTCCGCCGGTATCTGCATCGTAACCACGTGCTGTGTGCAGTGTCGTTGGCTGTATGTATCGTGTTCGGCGACTGACCTGAGAATGTTAGGTCAGTTCAGTACGAGGCCTGGCAGAGGCCGGTTCGGACAGAGGCCGGTTCGGTGAGGCCGGTGCGGACAGAGGCCGGTTCGTGAGGCCGGTGCGGACAAAGGCCGGTTCGTGAGGCCGGTGCGGACAGAGGCCGGTTCGTGAGGCCGGTGCGGACAGAGGCCGGTTCGTGAGGCCGGTGCGGACAGAGGCCGGTTCGTGAGGCCGGTGCGGACAGAGGCCGGTTCGTGAGGCCGGTGTGGACAGAGGCCGGTTCGTGAGGCCGGTGCGGACAGAGGCCGGTTCGTGAGGCCGGTGCGGACAGAGGCCGGTTCGTGAGGCCGGTGCGGACAGAGGCCGGTTCGTGAGGCCGGTGCGGACAGAGGCCGGTTCGGCGAGGCCGGTTCGGCGACTGACCTGGGAATGTTAGGTAAGTTTGGTACGAGGCCTGGCAGAGGCCGGTTCGGATAGAGGCCGGTTTGGTGAGGCCGGTTCGGCGACTAACCTGGGAATGTTAGGTCAGTTCGGTACGAGGCCTGGCAGAGGCCGGTGCGGACAGAGGCCGGTTCGGTGAGGCCGGTGCGGGCAGAGGCCGGTTCGGTGAGGCCGGTGCAGACAGAGGCCGGTTCGGCGAGGCCGGTTTGGCGACTGACCTGGGAATGTTAGGTCAGTCCGGTGCGAGGCCTGGCAGAGGCGGGTGCGGACAGAGGCCGGTTCGGTGAGGCCGGTGCAGACAGAGGCCGGTTCGGCGAGGCGGTTCGGTGACTGACCTGGGAATGTTAGGTCAGTTCGGTACGAGGCCTGGCCGAGGCCGGTTCGGACTGCGGCCGGTTCGGTGAGGTCGGTGCGGACAGAGGCCGGTTCGGCGACTGACCTGGTAATGTTAGGTCAGTGCGGTACAGGCCTGGCAGAGGCCGGATCGGCGACGGACCTGGGAATGCGAGGTTCGCACGGCGGGCGACACGACGGGGTCTGAGTGACATGGCTTGGATACGTTAGGTCAGTTCGGTGCGTGACCGGGCCGCGGCCGATTCAGCCCTGACCTGGGAACTTGGGTCGGGCCGGTGGGCGAGCGGGTCATAGGTGACCGCAGGGGTGAGCGGATAATGCCCCGGCTTTACTTGGTAATGGATCGGTTTGAGGTTGGCCTGGTATAACGTACGAGCAGACTCGTATAGTGGTCTGCCCGGCGAGTGGGTTTGGCGGCATTCTCCCACGACACGGCCAGAGCAACTCGGCGTCGGACGCTGGTTGCGGCGCCAACGGGCGTCGGTCAACGGGCGCGGCACGCCGCAGACGGCCTGTCACCGTCTCGGGATCCGCTGGTTTATGTCCACAGCTGGTTTATGAGCGCAGGTGTCCTTTTATGGCAAACCGTATCCAGCGCCGTCCGGGGCCGCTCTTGCGACTTCACGTTGAGCACAAGAAAAAGATCCATCGAGTCACGCTGCCCTGGTGTTTGAGGGGTGTCGATTGACACTGCCCTGGTTTTGAAGGGTGTCGATTCACACTGCCTTGGTGTTTGAAGGGTGTCGATTCACACTGCACTGGTGTTTGCGAAGGGTGTCTATTAACACTGCCCTGGCGTTTGAAGGGGTCGATTCACACTGCCCTGGTGTTTGAAGGGTGTCGTTTCACACTGCCCTGGTGCTTGAAGGGTGCCGATTCACACAATTCCTTGGTGTTTGCGAAGGATGTCGATTCACACTGCCCTGGTGTTTGAAGGGTGTCGTTTCACTCCGCGCTGGTGTTTGCAGGGTGTCGATTCACAATGCCCTGGTTTTTTGAAGGGTGTCGATTCACACAATTCCCTGATGTTGCGAAGGGTATCGATTCACACTGTCATGGTGTTTGAAGGGTGTCATTCAAACTGCCCTGGTGTTAAAGGGCGTCGATTCGCACTGCCCTGGTGCTTGCGAAGAGTGTCGATTCATACTGCCCTGGTGTTTGAAGGGTATCGATTCACACTGCCCTGGTGTTTGAAGGGTGTCGATTCACACAATTCCTTGGTGTTCGCGAAGGGTGTCGATTCACGCTGCACTGGTGTTCGAAGGGTGTCGATTCACACTGCCCTGGTGTTGGAAGGGCGACGTTTCACACTGCCCTAGTGTTGCGAAGGATGACATTCGTTGGGTGAGCACTGCGCCTTGTGTGATGGGCCACCGGGCATTCAATTAGTACTTTTTCTGCTCTCGAGAACCAGTCCTTCTGGTAGCTTAACGAGGAGACACTGAGTGTGTCAATCTCCTACCATTACCTGTCGGTTCCAGTTGGGGCTTTTGGTGGCCGATGAGGAGCGCAACCGAAAAATGGGTGAGTACGGCCAACAACAGCCAAACTGGAATGGGTCGCAGCACGGGACACAGTAGCGACAGAGAGGAAACACTAATCGGTATTAGGGTCCCCTAATAAAGTTTAGTGGCCCCTCTGGAGTGTGAAGACCAGCTGGGTCGGAGGTGGGTTGGGAGCGGCAGTCCGTGGGGAGGGGCGAGGGCGGGGAGGGCGAGGGAGGAGACGAGAGGACAGACTTCAGTCAGTGAGAGGGGACGACGGTGACAACAGAGGCGGGCCGCGAGTGGCGCGTCTCCCACCCCCCATCCCCAACGGCGCCAATGTCCTCAACATTGTCTCCTCCGTCTCTTTTTCGTTTTTTTTTTTATTACTTCTCTCCCTCTCTCGTCCGACGTCGTCTCACCCACGGTTGTGGCGGATGAGGAGCGCAACCGAAAAATGGGTGAGTACGGCCAACAACAGCCAAACTGGAATGGGTCCCAGCACGGGACACAGTAGCGACAGAGAGGAAACACTAACCCACACTTCAGGCGGCCGTTCTCACCGCTCGTGCCACTCCCGTCCGTGACCTGCCTCACAGTCCGTTCACTGCCGCCGGAGGGCCGCCAGACACGGAACACCATCAACTTTGTTAGCAGAATGACGGGCACTTTTCTTCGGCGCACCTCTGCGCGAGCTACCGACTCTGACATTCCAGGCTTCAGGCGCCCCCACCGGGCGGTTTTTCAGGTGCCTCCATAGAACGATTTCGTCATTCTTTCTACCATTGTTTTGGGAAACTAGTGGATGCACTCTGCTCTAGGATCAGACATCAGTGAGCAGAAAAATCTTCCTTTGGCAAGCAAACACCAAGAAGGGTGAGTGACCGTTCACCTCTCTGCGGCAAGCTGACAGCCCGCAGCGGGCGGCTGGGACCGCGCGGCGCACGGCAGTAACACCGACAGACGAGCCGCGCATACTGAAACGGCCGGTCGCCGACCGCAGGACACCGTGTCACGCGGAGCCGTCCACCGCCGGGACCAGGTCACCAGAGGTCAGCCGTCAGCATAGAATACAGGTTACCAAGGTCAGCGAAGGTCGCCTAAGGTCGAAGGATGTCGGCGAAGGTCATGATCTGTCGTCCAAAGATACAGTGCCCACTGCCCAGCCCAGTGTTGGATCTGAGCTGTCCTCGGTACATACCTCCCGTGATGTTCCCTTGCTCCCCAGCTGGTCGACGCGGCCAGATGATACGAGCTGCACTCGAGACTGTCCCTTCTCCCGCACATCAGTGGGAATGGGGAAGGCGACGGAGTGAAGCGGGGTGATACTAGAGAGCGTGTGAGGGACGAGAGACATTGGGGTCATGGGGGACGGTGCGCCGGCGCCGGCCGCGTCTGACGGCGCAGTCATCAGCACGGTCAGGAGTTGGGACGGAGGTGGCGGCGGCGGTCACTGCGCTAATGACGCAGCCGCCTCCGTGGAGATGGGCGCGAGCACCGGTCGCAGACCCACACTCGAGGGAGGCGAGGCGGGACAACACACTGACAAACAGGACGTGCCACTCGGCCACAGCTGCTGGTGCGTGGAGTCAGGGGCAGTGGGGCTGGTCCAGCGTGACACATTAAAATCAATCAGGGTCTATGGACTCTGCATGTAAAAAAAAGAAAAGAAAAAAATACGGGACAGTCCGCTCGGAAGATTACGACACATGTAGAAATACCATCGAATGTGTCCTCCTGCTGATCTAACATTAATCATTATCGATATTCGATATTCAACCAAATAAATGTGGAATTATGCATGTCCTGTAATGCCCAGTGCCCACCCACTCAGTCAAGGCCTTGAGTTGGTTCCTTACCGATGGCACTAAGAGTTTCTTGATCTCTTCGACGGCCCGCTGAATCTTGGCCTTGGCGCGGTTCTCAGAGTCCTCACAGGTAATGAGTACGTGCAAGTCGTCACTGAGGTGTTCCCAGTTCTGTTTACCCCTGTTCATCTCTTCCTGTGGACGGTGGGGGCGAGAGACAGGGTTAGAACAATACTTCTCAAAGGTCAGAAAAGGTGACGAACGGATCACATCTCTCAGGTCATCACACATGACCAAAAACGAACAAAACAGACTCTCATTTTACCGCTCCTTAAAAAACAACTAACTGGCCCGAAATGACCGCATTTTTTGGCGTCCAGGGAGCTCTGAAGCGAGTGACGCGGACGGGTGGACGGGCCATCCCTCACACCGTGTCATATCGGCCGGCGGGGCCGTCACCGCTGCCCTCAGTGACCTGACACCGTGGGACCACCGGTGGACGGCGTTGGCGGTGTGGTTCTCTCGAGAGAACTCGTCAGCGGGGGATCGACCTTACATCAGCCAACTATGTGAACGTGATTACCGTGCAGACCGGACCGAGGACGTCAATAGCCACCTTAACGGCGGAGACGGTAAGGTATGTTGACGGATCGGATAGGGACGCACGGCGAAGTGAGGGGAGAGAGGGGGAACAACGGGAGGGGGAGGGACGGCGGGAGGCGCATGGCCGCGGGGAGGCAGGGGCGAGAGGGAAGCGGAGAGGGACATGCCAGGCGCCAGTCGACAGAGGGCAGCGAGCGCGGCAAGACGTGCAGCAGTGATTTTTTTTTTTACCTTCTTCCATGGAATTCCTAGAACGCTATTTCGTTTTTCTCGTTAAAGGGGAGGGGCCGTTGTGAACCCGCAGGCGGTGTGGTTCTCTCGAGAGAACTCGTCAGCGGGGGATCGACCTTACATCAGCCAACTATGTGAACGTGATTACCGTGCAGACCGGACCGAGGACGTCAACAATACTTCTCAAAGGTCAGAAAAGGTGACGAACGGATCACATCTCTCAGGTCATCACACATGACCAAAAACGAACAAAACAGACTCTCATTTTACCGCTCCTTAAAAAACAACTAACTGGCCCGAAATGACCGCATTTTTTGGCGTCCAGGGAGCTCTGAAGCGAGTGACGCGGACGGGTGGACGGGCCATCCCTCACACCGTGTCATATCGGCCGGCGGGGCCGTCACCGCTGCCCTCAGTGACCTGACACCGTGGGACCACCGGTGGACGGCGGTCCCGGCGCCAACACTAACGGTCGTAACTCGGCCCGGGCCTGTCAGCGCTCACCACCGACGGACATTTCAGGGGGGGGGGGGGGCGATATCACACATCTGCCCTGGCTGCAGTGGGAGTAGGAAGAAAGAGTCGCATCGGGGGCATAGTATACTGCATAGATCCAAATAAAACCGCGGGGGGTGTATAATGAACGCTCCGGTTTGGAAACATTGACATTTCAATCTTTAATGAAAAATGATGTGAATGTCACTAGACATGGGGTGTCATAATTTTCAGGACTGCACTCTTAATAGCTGAGCTTTAATCACAGGCGTCAATTTTCATCTGGCACCTGCCAGAAATGGCTCGCATGGCATTGCTGAGCGTCGACAGCAGCCAGCGCGGCCTGCTCGAAACTGCCTAGATCTTCATCAAGATCTGTCATATCTACCCTATCACTGAGGAATCTCGGTATTCTGGGGCGAATCGAAAGATCGCTGGGCCCGGAGATCGCATCTACCGACCGAGACGGGCGCGTGTCCAACACACGACCCCGTTTGATGCCGACTCGGGGTGAGCGGCCGGCCGCTGATCTCTCCACCTACCAACACGGCCCTCTACACGGTCAGATCCGGCGCGCGCTGATACGATACGGCAAATTGCACGTCACATGGAGCGTGTCCAAACCGCCGGCCGCCGATCGCTAATTTCGTTTGAAGTTGATTCGGCCGCGCGGCGGCAGAGCCGGTCCGCTAGCGCGGTGTTGGCGGCGGCCCAGCTCTGCAGCGCCGCTCGACTGACGTGGGTCCACAGACCCTCGCCGGAGACGGGTCAGGGCAGGTCATCGCTCACGGCGCCACGGCATCCGTCACGGCCGATTTAATATGGCCGCCGTCAGCGGTCGGTGACCGACGCGCCGACCACAGGCGAATTGGTTGTCATCTCCACAGGACGTGCGAACTAATTGAATGTAACCAAGTCAGGTATTATTTATGACGCTGGCGCAGTACCAAATACACTCCGTGTCTCCATACGGCGAAGAGACGAATTTCGATCCGTTGATTTATCGATTTAGAGGGGAACTGACGAACGCTTCGATCACTTGGCGGCTCTCTAATGAGAGAGCTGTTTTTAGGAAGACTGATCGGAGGGAAAACGTCCAAAATTAGCCGGCGGACTCGTTCCAAAAATTCCTGGCCGGTCGCTGCGGGCGGATTCAGCGCTCCAACTGCTATCACAACACCTGCAGTTAACACGAAACAGCCCTCCAGTGAGCCGAAACAATCCGGCGTCGTCTACAGGGGAGCCCCAGACAACGTGGCACGCTCTACCCAATGACAGTTCGCCCCAGGTATGCCAAGGTATGCTGAGGTATGCGGGGGTTTGTCAGGAGAGCCACGATGGCCAAAACACCACCCTCGCCAGCGGCGGGCGCGGAGAGGGGCAGGAGAGGTAACCGGCAGGTGAACGGGAGAGGAGCGGAGAGGAGCGGAGGGGAGGGGAGGTGCACCGGGCCGCCCGGGCCACCGGCCAGTTCTGCCGTTTTGCGTGCCAGCCGATTGGGCCAGATCGGTAAAATATCCGTGCCAAACAGCCCCCACCTTCCACCGCCATCGCTGTCGTCGGCCTCACTGCGGCCCTCCATAAAAACCCAGCTCTGCGCGCCCGCCACAGACCGTTCGAAACCCGCCGCCGTGTGCGCAGCTCGGTAACGAATCAGCAAATCGGCCGACCGGCCCGGCCCTAAAATAGAGCGACTGAGGAACCGCCGACGGCGGTGGTGGGCGGCGAAAAACGCACCTCCTGGCCTCCCAGCGGCGGCAAAACTCCGCCAGCTGGCAGCCGGCGCAGTGGCCCGGTCGGCCGCGAAACGGGCCGCTGCACTGGTTCGTTAGGGCGGAGGTGGTTCAGACGGGATCAGAGCGGCGCTCCACTGATCAGGAGCGGCGCGGGGTGATCAGGAGCGGCAGGGGCTGATCAGGAGCCAGCAGGAGAGGAATCTCGGCGGACGGTGCAGGAAAAACGGTCCACTGTGGGAGGAAAGGGATGGAGGACGGTGATTTGTGATATTTTCTGACCATAGGCAGTCACGAGAGAAAAATACATGCAACATACATTTACTAGCAAATGATGATATGTATGTGAGCACTCATCGTTCCGATTTAATCAAGACTATCAAACGCTGTCTCAGTGAACATTACTCGACAAACAACATACACACAAAAATAATAACCATTGGGCTGAATAATCAAGTAGATGAGTTACTCGTCATAACAACCGATCTTACCTATTGATAATCGATTCCTGGGTGCGTGAAACGGAACAGAGCACAGGTTAACAACCGGTGGAACGGTCAGCTACAATCACATCACGACCAGCGGTGTCCAGTAGCCGTAGGAATGGTTAATCACGCTTAACGAGTCATACAGCAGCAGGACAACAACAAGGGGACAACAACAACAACAAGAGTATAAGTCACGGAAACAAATATCGAGAGGATGGCAGTAAGAAAATGAGTCACAGTGAAACACATGAGGGGAAGGGTAATAAATAAAACATCTGCCTGGCCCCGACACAGCAAAGTAATCTTGACACAGCCCACAAATGTACATGCTACTAAAATGACACTGGTCAAGTATCTCCAAAGCACACAAACACAGCTGACTTGATTAAAATCCAGAAAATGAAGAAGGGTGGGTACTGGGTGAGTAGTTACAAGCAGTAGCGGAATGATGAGTTGTAACGCGTCATGCATAAATGGAAGTCAGCATCAGATCACGGGCAATGACGTCAGGTCAACAGCAAAAAAAGTCGCACCAGTTCGTGTCAGGACTATGCCTACTAGTCATTAGTCAGTCAATGAACGGTGTCACCAATCAAGTCCCTTGGAATGTCAGAGCCGTTATCAACCAGTTCCTGGCTGTCAGTCGCCCCGGCATCTAGCGAATCCAGTCTCGACTGCTCTTGTGACCGCTCGACGCTACCACGGGGTTCGGTTGCGGTTTGGGTCACTGTCCCAGCCACCAGAGACCAGACATTGGAAATACAGTGATACGTTCAATTTAGCCGAGCACTGCTCCGATCATTGAGAATATAATTAGCTCTTCACTCTTGTGGTCTTTCAGCAAATTATGACAAGCACCATGGCGTGTTATCGAGAATCAAACATTAAAGGGACCCTCCCACCTTCAAAAAAGTTAATGAATTGGCATGAAAGTGATGTCGCTCGGTTCAGAAAGAGCCGAAACGAATAACTACCAACTTTCATCGAAAAATATTCACCGGTTTTCAAGATATTAGACTTTTACTTTTGTTTACTTTTTGGCATCTCTGCTGTTCCTAGCGACTGTATTTGAAAGTGCGGCACTTGTTGCGCGCAAAGCAGCATATACCACCGCGTGCTACCAAACGTTTTAGTCAAACATTTAAAAATCGTTAGATATCTGCGCTGACGTCACACATTCAGAGGGGTATTCTTATGCATTAGCCCCTCTGAATCAAAATGCTGCAATTTTGAAATTCAATATTTCCGATTTAAGGCATTTCTCGATGTTGTAAGTGCCGAAACCGGTAATTGTGAGCCAGGGACCCCATTTTGGCTATCTCAACTCAAATCTAATGTTAAGGTGGGAGGGTCCCTTTAACATCACCAAGGCCCAGCTCACCGCAAGAAAAAATTTTAATGTCGAGACGAGATTACAAAACTAATAACCTACAACAAAAACGACTGAAAAACGGCGACCGACACCAAGCACAGAAATCCATTCCGAAGCAGCCACGGGTGGTGTATCCGTGGAGCCTGGCAAAACCGGTGGAAGACTACCAAACAGGGCGGGCCGGGATCCCTCATTAGCGGGAACACGCCAGAGAGGGAGGCTCGAGCGCCGGTCAGGCCCGTCTTGGTGACTGGGACTCGTTCCTCGTTCCCA